TATTATATTATATTATTATTATTATTATTATTATTATTATTATTATTATTATTATTATTATTATTATTATTATTATTATTATTATTATTATTATTATTATTATTATTATTATTATTATTATTATTATTATTATTATTATTATTATTATTATTATTATTATTATTTCATATTATAAAATATTTAACTGAAAAAAATTAGGTCGAGAATGAAAATCATTGCAGCAATTTGGTTTTTTTAAAAATTTCATATCATTATTCAGTCATATGAACCCAATGATAGTATGTATCGGGCAAGTTTAATTGACCGAAAAAGCAATAAATCATCAAAACGCTCCGTAAGTACCGTTGAAATGCATCGACACACGAATAATAACATTGTCCGCATTGAATCAACAACAGTTTCTGGACCAATTGCGCCAACATTTCGTTATATACGGAAATGTAATCGTGATAAGGTAAGTATAGTGTTAATTTTAATTATAACTTAATTGATATTTTCATAAACAAATTATCAAATGAATTTTCATTTTATCCTGATTTCTTTTGTTTATTTATTCTTTTTTTCTGCTTATTTTTTAGATTGTTTACTTCTTTTTTTGCTTATTTGTTTTTCTTTTTACTGTTTTTGTTTATTTGCTTGCTTAATTGTTTACTTTTTTATTTTCTTTTTTTATTTGCCCTGTTTTCTTTTTTTTTGCAATTAAGCTTTTGCAATTTTTAAATGTCATGTTATCAATGTTAAAAATTAATTACGTCTAATTCTGGATTTTCTTAATTCTACTATTTTTTTTTCCATTTTTTATACTTATTTTTTTCATAAAACTTTAAAACTAAATTAATTTAATTATTATTTTGCTATAAAAAATTGTTTTACAAATTTTAAAACTTAATTAATTTTAATTATTATTTTGCTAAAAATGATTTTTTTTCATGATTTATTTAACAATTTTTTTATTCCATTTCTAAAGAATTATTTTTAGTTTATTTTATACTTTTTTTTTACTTTAACCTATAATTAATTTACAAATGACAAAGTTATTGCGAACTGTGCTACCGTATATCTAAAAATCAGAGCTAAATATCACACAATCTAATTTAGTTTGTTAAATATATTACTCATTACAACACATTTGTAACCTACCAAAGAGCATACCCCGCGATTTCTCAACTTAATCAAATCAATATCACATTAAATTGAAATGTGTTTCAAAGAAAAATGAAAGACTTAATAGATGATTTTTTTTAAATATTTGATAAAATAAACTTCTCTAATGTAATCAATTTTCTATCTGTATTCTTTGCTTTAATTCCTCTGAGAAATCTTTCTTCAAACCAATATCCTAACGGGATATCTATTCGCGGATATCTCCTCGCTGATTCGCTCGCGGGGATATTTACCTCGGTATATTTGATATTTTTAAGAAAATGTTTCCATTTCGGCCTTTTTTTTTTAAATATATTCTATTTGCTTTCCTATTTTTTCCTCATTCTCCTTTTTTCTTTTTCCTTGTTAACTTTGAAAGAATTTGAAAAGATTAGGAATAAATTTTGTTATAAAAATAATTTGATTAAATTTAAAAATTAAATTTCCAATTAATTTATGAATTTAAATTTGAAATAATTTTTAATTTAATTTTATTAACAAATTTGTAAAAATGAAGGACGAAAATATTTGACAATGAAACATTTTTTTTTTTTCTTCCTATAATCACTAAAACTAACATTAAAAAATTTCATGAAAAGTCTAAAATTATTGACTTTACCGACAGTTCTTTTTTTTTATTTTTATTTTTACTTTGCACTTTCCTTTTGGACAATTTTTTTTTCTTTTTTTTTTGTCACCTATGCCAGTTTATTATACATTTACTTTAAAATATCATTGTGATATTATAAACATTTGAAAATTTAAATAAAGTTTTGAAATAAAAATTTTTTTTTCGCCGTACTTTTTATGGTAATTTATTCGAATATTTTATTGATATTATTATCATTATTATTGTTATAAAAAGAAAACAAACAAATGGTAAAATTCTATTGTATTTATTTAATTATTTATAGGAAAGGATAAAATATTTGTAAATTACGAATGATAAAGAAATAAATCAAAAATCAAACAATGATTTAGGGTTAGATGAAAAGAAAAAAGTTTAATTTTTTTTTTTAAAATTTAAACTTAATGGCAAAAATTTTGAGTAGACATGACATTTAGGTTAGATTTTAAGTAAGTAAACAAATGACATTTGTCAAATTATTGATTAACAGGTGGTATCAACGTTGGATTTCAATGAAAACGAGATGTTAACGTGAAATTTCGAATATAAATAAACATAATACGTCGAATTTTTGATAAACAAACATTTACCTTAGATTTCGGTTAAATAAACATTTACAAAAAAGCATACACTTATGTAGCATTTATAAATTGTGTAATACTGTACCATTCATTTTTAATTCTCTCTACAATACTTATAATTCTATGTTCAATCATTTTTAAAATAACATATTTCATAAAATTTTATCAAATTCAATCATTAAAGAGAAAAAGCCAATAATTTATTTTCATTATTTGAGTATTGTAAAAATTTAAAATGAAAAATAAAAAGAAAAACATCGAATTAATGTATGAAATATTATTACTGTTAATCCATTAACAAATTTTATAATTAAATACAAATAAATAATTAGTTTAAATTAAAATTTAATTAATTTTTTCTTTTTTGTTCTAATCTAATATAGTTTAATATTATTTTTCAATTTGATAGTGCTACTAATATTTGTTATCTTTTAATTTAATAGTACTAAGTAATATTTCAACGATCTTATTATTATAATGTTATTATACTTAGTTATCTTGCTAAATTAATTTATTGTCAATAACGATGATCCATCCGTATAGTAAATTGTAATTAATGCTATTGGAACTATTTTAATATCATTCAATTTTAACCGATAAAAGTAAACTTTTTAATAAATACAAAATTGAAATTCGAAATAAAAAATACTTTTTCCTTCCCAAATTCATGGCATTTAATATTCAATTTCCAATTATTGTTATCACTGTTATTTCTTTACACTAAGCATTTTCTTTAAAGAAAAAAAAAAAGTGTAAAATCAAATTTAGGTGGATAAAATTTTATGCTACATTGCTGAAATTGTTTAAAATAATATGAAGCATCTGGAATATAACACGCAGTTAAATTTGTCATTTTATTTCCTTTATTCATTATTTTAATTTTGGATATCATTTTTTCTCCCATTTCTTTTTCTATCTTTTTTTTTATAAAATTGAATTTTTCTTTTTGTTTTATTTGTTTATCTTTAATTGGATAATGAATAATTCATCAAAGCATTAAATATTCTTAGTTCTTTTTTTTTCAAGTATAAGTATAAAAAATTAGGAAATTATAAAGTATAAAAAATTAGGAAAATTTCAAGTATAAAAAAGTATAAAAAATTAGGAAATTATGAAATATAAAAAATTAGGAAAATTTCAGGTATAAAAAAGTATAAAAAATTAGGAAAATTTTGATTATTTTTTAACATTTTTTCAATTTTTTTCTTTTTTAAAATTTTTGCATTCTTTCTTCTTTCTCTTCATTTCTTCCATTTTTTTTTTTCATTGTTAATATTAATTTGTTAAGTAAAAAATATTGCAAAATTTTAACTCTAAACAATATGTATGATAGATAATAAATATTTGTGAGAATTTTTAAATTTTTTTTTTCCAATTTTTTTCTTTTTTTTTTTTTTTTGTACCATTCCGTAAGATTTATTTTTTTGATTTTATTTTATTATTTAAAAAAAAAAAAAATTTGAACATTCTCACATATTGCATATTTTCTTTATTCCATTTCACATCATATATTTTCGAAAAATGAAACAAAAAATTCTTGCCTTGATTGATTATTCAATTTCTTATTATCATATCATATTTTATCAGTGTTAAACTTAAACATATTTTTATCATTTTTTTCTTCACACTTGAATTGTAAACGTTTGTTGTATCATACTTTTTCTCTCTCTTCTACAACATTCCTCACCAATCATCCTATCGTTTAACAAAAGCATTATTTCATTTCTTTAACTTTTCTTTCTTTCTTTCTCTCTCCCTCTCTCTC